GAGAGAGAGAGAGAGAGAGAGAGAGAGAGAGAGAGAGAGAGCATTAAAATTAGCAAGTGGAACTAAATAAATTTGTGAGCTCTCACGATTAGATTATCCCCTAGAGTGAGACAAAGATGGCACTGTCTTGTTTTGTGCCCTAAGAGTTTCATGATAACATTTAAAACTCAAAGATGATTTGACACTGACTTTTGTCAAGATATGTGGGGTTATATACTAGTGTTTGACAACTTGTATGCATTTGGTTGGTGCATAGGAAGCCAAAAATAAAAGGCCCATGGAAATTTAGATCAAATTGAGTGCTAAATTATGTTTGCATACTCATTGAATATTTATAAAATTGAGTGCTAGAATATGTTTACATATCCGTAGTGTTCCTAAGAAGAGTATGTAATAAGGTATAGAAGTGAATCTATAAAGTTATAATTAATTGAAAGGTATGTGTTATTAATCTCACACATTGATTTTTATTTTTTTTTGTAAATAAAGATAGGAATATCGGACCACGTTAATTTTTTTTATCAATTTTATGGTATGATCTCTGGCTTTTTTTTATTTAGAGGTTTTTTCTCCACCAATATTATTACAATATAACTTAAAACTGTTATATATCTTCTTTTATAGATTAACGAAAAATCTCTTGACCTCTCTTATAAATTTTGAAAAAAAAAAACCAACAAACATCCTAAGTTTTTCTTTTCTTTTTCTTTCTTACACACTTTATTTTAAAATTTCTTTTGTGTGTATGTATATATATGTATATATATCGGTCTTCGGAATCGTTTGCACATGAAACTAGATCATTAAAATGATATAAATAAGATTGTACTACTAGCTTAAGAGCATAAACAATGAACAAAAGGATTACAATTTCAAGATGCACATAAATTATGATCAAGTTGCAGAATTATCCTAATTATTTTGATTCAGTCCTTTATGTCTGCTGTCACCCTTGCTGGTGGCCTGCCATCCAACATACTGTTCACTATGTTGTCTCCACAAACCATGAGACAGTAAACAAGGAAGAGAACAAGTTGGATGATTCTAGAATTTACAGCCTTGGCCCCAACATATCATCACCCTCATATCTCCATGATATCTCAAGGGAGTAGTAGTGCAATCCAATGGCCAATGGAGCTCGACTTGCATGCATCACCTTAGACGTCAGAGCAATTTGCTCCCACTTGCCAATCCATATCTATTAATCTTCCTTACCTCCACCACTTTGTTCCATCGTCTTCCTACATAAAGCAGCCTCCCATTTCCTCTTCCTTCTCCAAGTATCATGCCAAGGCAACGAGAACTTGGAGAGGCCAACACACACAGCTCAAGGTGTATCTGCCGCTACATATGTGTTGGCACATCTTATTACTCGGCTTAGATTGGTCACTGACAGTGATACCTAAGTTGCTGATAGCATACATGGCATTGTTTGATGGTGCAAGCTATGGTCAGTTGGTCACATCTGCATATAAGTAAGCTTGACATAACACAGCTTTTGCCTTCATGTATTTGATGATCTTAACATGGTAACATGGCTTCTTTTGTTCCTTTTCAGAGTGTTTGTTGGTACATGGAATGTAGGAGGAATCCCGCCGTCCGATGATCTTGATTTGGAGAATTGGATGGACACCAGTAATAACTCTTATGACATATATGTTCTTGGGTATATCCAACGCTTGTCTTCTGCAAATCTTTCTGAAATTATAGTTCCTCTCCATAACACTTTGATAACTGATCATTGTTGTAGGTTCCAGGAGATCATACCACTTAGAACCAGGAATGTCCTTGGTCTGGAAGAGAGTAAGATGGCCGGGAAGTGGAACTCCATCATAGGTGCAACATTGAACAAGTCCCTACCCGAACAAAGGCCTACTCAGATGTTTGAACCAGTGGAGCATCGTAAGGTGTATCCTGTGAAGGATGGCTACCATAGGGAGAGAGAGGCTGGAGATTTCAGGTGCATTATAAGCAAGCAAATGGTTGGAATTTTGGTCTCATTATGGATTAGGAACGATCTTTTGGACTACGTTAGTAATCCAAGTGTCTCATGCATTGGTTGTGGCATCATGGGCTGCTTAAGGAATAAGGTAACCCTCTCTCTCTCTCTCTCTCTCTCTTTCTCTCTCTCTCTCTCTCTCTTCATATTTACATCTTGTTTGGAGCTTGCAGGGTTCAGTGTCTGTTAGATTTTGCTTGCATGAATCAAGTTTCTGTTTTGTTTGCTGCCATTTGGCTTCGGGAGGAAAGGAAGGAGATGAGATGCGTAGGAACTCAAATGTCATGGATATACTGTCGAAGACATGCTTTTCCAGTGACTCTTCTAATGATTTGCCGAAGAAGATCCTTGATCATGAGTGAGTACACCATCAACTTCTATAAATGGTTTTGGTCATATTTTCTTGGTTGAGAAAAAAAAAATGGAAGAGTGCCAATTAGTAGATCAAGACCTTGTTGGTTATGTTAATATATATCATGTCGAATATAATTGTTGTGAACCTTGTTAAATGGTGTTGAGATAAGACTGATGACCCATTTCATGATCAATATCCATAGATTCAACTACAGAAAATTAATCAAATAAATACTTCATTTTTTTTTGCATTTGACTGGTGATGTTTATAGTCGGGAAAGATTCACTTAACGTGATTTTACATTTCATGCAGTCGAATAGTGTTGTTTGGGGATTTAAACTACAGGATCTCCTTGCCGGAAGCCAAGACAAGGTCACTGGTGGAACAAAAGGAGTGGAACATCTTGTTAGATCAAGATCAGGTACTTCAACCCTTTTCTTCTACATCGATCATGTACGCATTGCTTAACCTCTCATCGTCTTTGTTTGATCTGTAGCTAAGATTAGAGTTATCCGAGGGCCGAACACTTGAAGGTTGGAATGAGGGTGCCATCACGTTCTCTCCCACCTACAAGTATCATCCGAACTCCGATCAGTACTGCTGGGAAGTTCCTGGTATTATAGGAGAAAGAAGACGAGCTCCTGCGTGGTTAGTCCATTGGTCCCTGCATCCACTAAAGCATGCATTTCACTGTTGCCGGGGAAGTGAAGCGTGCTGGTTTTGTAGGTGCGATCGAATACTGTGGCTGGGTGAGGGACTGAAGCAAATCGAGTACGAACGATGCGAATCGCAGCTGTCCGACCACCGACCAGTTCGAGCAATCTTCACTGCTGAAGTCGACGCCGTCGTCCTGCAATCTTCGAACGCCATGGATGGGCAGGGTGGTGTAAGAAATGGGTGAAGAAGTAATCTTTGGGTGCTGCAGTGCTGAGTCTTTCAGATGCTGTAGTTTAACGAGCTCACTTGTTTCATTGTCAGACGACAAGAACTAATCCAATATCGTGACAGAGATCTGACACCGTGACCTGCACCATAAGAGACAGTGGCTGGTGGAGAAGGTTGTCTCCTGCTGCAATGATTGGCAATAACTTATTCACTGAAATGTAGTGTTGACATAACGCCATTTGCAAGAAGACGAACAGAAAACCAATCATGATCGACCTTCTTTTATTGTGGGCGATTTTGTCTTCATCACTCCCCATCTTGCACGCAAAGATACTGGCATGCAGGATGCATGCATGGTTGAGAGGTCCTGCATAGATGAAATGTGGCAGATTCTAACCAAATCTGGCTGTTGCATGCCAAGTAGATGAAATGTCTGATCCTTCGACATCGTAAACAGTAGGCTCATGGCACACTACACTAATCTACTGCATGCTTCTCAACCTTGTGCTGCAGCAGATCAAATTGGAGGATCCAAGACACACACTTGTGGCTGGTTTATCCACAACTTGTCAGCTTATTCCACCTCAGTAATCCATCAACCGCATGACATTTCAATGGAAAGAGCTCTCTTTGCTTGCATTTGGTTCATCAAAGGAGGATATCACTTTAGCCCATCCCTCTCCATGGTCTCAATGTGTAGTGGAGAAAAAAAACACATCCAAGTTGCATCTTCCTCCTCATCCTAAATAGTGGGTTCTCGTACTGCAAACACCAAAGATCAAATCATGCATTGGGGAATGCTCATCCTGAGAGGAGTGGACTTAGAATGATGAAGTCACCTTATTCATCACTTCCATCATTTGGGTTTCCATTGGCTCAATAAAGAGGATAAAGCATTCAATATTGAGAAAACAATAAAAAGATGAAACAAAAATTAATAATTTTCATACTGGGAGAATACTATTATAAGATTATAATGAATGAGTCAACTTGATGGATCAAAATGCTTAAGAATAAAGAAGATTGGTATGATAACTTGGCTATTAAATTTATTGAGACCAAAAGATCAAAAATATTTAGCTTAAATTGATAATAATATATCTATCATATCCTTATAAATTAATCTAACTCTTTAGATACTTTAATGAAGGAGTAAACTGAGATGTTATAATTCACTCACAAACAACGATAATCTATTTAAAACTTTAACTTCAGATATCAAAAGAGGAATATTTCTTCTCAACTTGGTCGCATCCACATCAAATTTAGATGTCTATTTCGCATCAAATACCATTCAACATTTGGCTTTTTGAACATTAAAGAGAAGAATAAATACTTTTTAGCATAAAATATCAGGTTAGAGATGCTGCCATAACATAAAGTCCTTATCCCACCAAACCCACTCCACTATTTAAGTCAGCATCTCAACTCCATTCTTTTACGTCCTTTCCCCCACTTTATATATATAATCTACCGTAAAGATAAAACTACGTGTATAGATAAAATGTCAAAATCTGGTTCGAGCAGATCATCTACCAAGTCAAGAGAAACAAGTGCACATTACTTTTACGTGAAGTCTAATATATTTCATGTTACTGTCGACCAGAAATTAAAGTGGTGGATTGAACAACAAGACAAATGTGGGGTGATCAAAGTTATTGCTAGTTGCGTCTTGAAGATGAATATCTAAAAGTCGACAACATATCCTATTATATGTACTTGTGTACCCCATCATGTCCTATAATATTGTTTTCACCGTATCTAAACTGAAACGTAAAGGGAGAAGGTTTAACGTGCAGCCAAGTTCTTCACAATGACCGTATTGATGAACGCCTGCGATCATCTTCTCAGGTGATGGTTATCTATGAGGGATGCGACCGTTTCGTTCGTCGCAATCGATTGACACAAGTAAATTGTATTGGTGGGTCCCAGTTACCACATGAGTGGGGAACCTGACCCTGGGTCCCACTCGACCGATGTAGACTCCCGCGTGGGCGCCACACCGCGGGAAGTGCTCAGGAGAAAGGTTTCTGTGAAATCCTGAAGGGTTTGACCGAATCACCCCGGATATTTTTCAGGGTGATGCGGTGGCTCATCACCTCCCAGCCTGAGTGGGACCCACTTCAATTGTCTGACATGTCTCGTCACCCTGAAAAAATTTCAAGGGTCATTCGGCCTAAAATGAACCACATTTGCGTTACATCAATGGTTCTTTTGACCGTGTCCCGTAGCATTAACTACCACGCAATTGGAAGACCGCCTCGATTTTAACGCGGTCCTGCGGAATAAAGAGCTGAGTTGGGCGGTCGCTCTTTCCTGCGTCGATGAGAAGAGACGACGATGTCGACACTGAGCGTTCCTCCGTTCCTTACTTCGCCTCGCCAGGATGCCATCGATCTCTACAAAGCCTTCAAAGGTAATCCAACCCAGTTCTCTTTCCCTCTTCCTTTCTGATCCCTGTTCTGCCCCTTTCCCCCCTTTCTAGAGCGTACTGGATTTTTATCTGTACTTCAGTTTGTCGTTTGGTCGGGATATTTTGTAAAGCTTCATTCTTTGAAGAATCTCCCGCACCGCGTGTTGTAATTTCTCGAGCGATCTATTATTTCCTTTATTATTTGTTGGGTTTTTTTTTGCTTTTTTGTGATTTTCATTAGTGGGTTGTCAGTAATTATAGATCTTGGAGGAGTCTGGCGTTTGTGAGTTTCTTCTCTTAATCTTTGTTGGAAGATTGTCGCTAGATTATTGCTAGTTCTAGGTGAGAAAAAAAAAGAAGAAAATAAGCATTTTAGGGCGATGGAGGAACTTTTCTGTGAGTTTCAAGAACCTGTATTTTGTCAGTTATTTTATTAAATTATTAATGTTTTCGCTTATCTTGGTCCTGTGGATTTTGAGGAGTTTAGATTGGTAACTGATCACGTCATTTTTTGTTGTCGTGGTTAGTCAATTTTGAGGAACAATTTTTTGAGTACAATTGTACGGAAGCGCTGGCTATAAATTAGTCAATCTGACTCATAGTATTGGTATCTGGACGTTAGTAACTTGTAAGACTTGGACCTGATTCAAATTAAGAGTTAAAAACAGGTCCTGTGTCTAGACAGTTGGGCGGCAAACTTGAATGGAAAATTGCTGAGTGACGCTGATGGCAGTTGGCTGAAGTAATTGAAACATCATCTGTCGACAAAAGATAGTTGAAATCTGAATCATGCGCCAGTCAGGCAAGGCCAGTGGCAGAGTCTTTTAATAGAATTTATGGCGTAATACAGTCAATGCTGCAACTTGGATCATGTGCAAGCTCTTTCAACTCACGTTTCTTAAAACTAACAAATATCTGAATTTGCTAACCTTAATAATCGGTAGTCCCTCTAAAGCTGGTTAGGATTCCTTTTATCGAATAAAGAAAAAAAAAATCAACTAATGTTCCTTTTCTGAAATAAAACTTATTGGGATCAAACATAACTATCAAAGTGATATATGGTTTAGTTGAATTAGTGATGGTTAGTATTAGTCTATTTATCAGGTATGATCAGTGGTTCTTTTCTAATTTCAAGTTCCAAATACCTCAATTGTTTCTCTTTGATCATGACAAACTTTTTATTTGTAAGGCCTAAAGAAATACAAAAGATTGTCACAAGCAAACATGATAGATCTACTAATTAAACTTGGATAGAATGGGCTTGAGCCACATTGCCTAAAAGACTTATGTTATTAATAGTAATTCAATGTAGGATTTCATTACCAATCTAACTCATCATCGTGTGGGATGACTGGGGCATTTCAATCTTAACATGGTACCTGAGACCAACTCAACCATCTCAAATTTCCCTTATTGTTTTGAAAGGAGTCAAACAGCAATAGATGAAAAGAACTAGGTCCCATGCAGAGTTTTTTATAGAATTTGATCAAGTATAGTGGGACAGCATAGAAACCACAGCCACAAGTATTTTTGATAGTTTCTATTTACTTGCAAGCATTTTAATAAAGCAAGTTACTAAAGACTGTAAACAATACTGCTGCTTTTACTGATTTAGGGAGATTGATCAATTTGAATTCTAAGATTTAAGCCAATTAGATTACTAAACAACCTATGTTGCACAAAAAACATTCAGAGCCATGCTTTACTACTTTTGTGGCATTGGATGTGACCATGATCAAGGTAGGAGCAAGTTTGGAGCAAAACAGATGACTTGGGTGGTGGAAAGCAGTCAGGTTACAAACACCTAAATATATAGAGAAGTTTAGCATGGGCTATGTGCAAGGATGAATGGTTCTGTAATGAAGTAGCTGAGGCAATTCTATAAAGAGAAAAGAATAGTTGGATACAGAAGACATTGATTTACATAGTTTAGCTTTTCACCGTCATTCATTGGCATGGGGAGAGAACAAGAGTATTCTACTATATGTGGAGAAAGATAATGTCAATTATTTTTGTAATGCTAATTTCTTCAGTGATGATTCCATGTAGTTAATTTGAATGAGCTTTCGATTGACTGATAGCTGAAAGAATAATGGTGCTTGTGATACCAATTGTTCTCATTGTCTTATGACTCTAGTTGGTTAAAATTTATGTGGGCAAATTTATAAGGGTTCTTTGGTAGTTTCTGCATTCATGAAAAGGTTACTTCTATATTGCTGTTTCTTATATTATCTTCCACTTGAATATATATTCTGATGTTATGAGGCTCAAGGTTTTTAAGTTATCTTGCTTAGTTTTGCCCTTTGCTTCTTGTTTTTTAGCTGCAGGCCAATGAAGAACATCCTATTAAAGTCGGTGTCTATAAGATATGTTTGTAATTGCTTATTGCTGTTACTAACAGATGCTTCAAACTTTGTATTAGACAGCATATCTCATTATAAATTGAGGTTCCCTATCATTGATGGCTTTTTCTTTGTTTTACAATTTGGTGCAGATTACTAATTGGATTGTATTTGCTAATGATGATTCAGGATTTGGGTGTGATAGTGCTGCTGTTGTAAATATACTTGCTCACCGTGATGCAACCCAGCGTGCTCTTATACAACAGGAATACAAAACCATGTACTCTGAAGAGCTTACCAGTCGGCTGTCTTCGGAGCTTAGTGGAAATCTTAAGGCATGAATAAATGATTCTTTTGAACGTATTTTGTGAAGAATTACAAGGAAATTCCAGCTCATAGGCAGGATTATCTGTAATGGGCTGTCAAGCATAAATTTGGAAACTTAATTATAACACCATTTTTTGCATATTTCTAAGGCTGATTACAAGCATCGGGCAGCGTCGAGAATTTTCTGTCAAACAGCCTAAATCCTGAAACTTTCTTATCATGAACCATTTTGGTGCAGCTTGACATTTCTATTTTTTGTGCATCTCAAATTCCATATCATGTACATTAGCTCACCACTAGGCATAACTACCTCATCCATTCAGATGCTTTCCCCCTTGAGCCTCTGTCCCAAACCCCATCCACATTTTGTTT